TGGACTTCGTTTCTCTCGCGTCTGACCCCGCGAAGCTTTCATCAAGGTCCGCTAAGCGCGGGGAGCAGAACCCGCAGCGAGGTTGCAAGCGGGGCGCGGAGCAGGAACACGCTGGCTGCCACCCGGCTCTGTGAAAGAGGAGCCACTCCCCGAAGGGAAGGGCCGCGTTCCAAAGGTTAAAAAGTCACCGAAAGGCTCATGCCGCCGGCGTTGGGGGTTAGTTTTGTCACCCCAAATGCACAGCCGGCAACTGGGCACTGGGGGGAGACTAAAGCGGGCTTCCCGTCTGTCGGGCGTCTGTCGGCCCTCGAACTTGCGGCGCGTCTGCCGGCGGAAAAAGTCTCTCCATCCCTCCAAAGCCGCAGAAAAGGGGTTGGCCAACTTCCCCCGGCTCGGGGCCTCTCAGGTGAAGCAGCTGGGGAAAGGACCCGTGAGGTGGCTGAAGGCACCCTGCCAAGGCGCGGGAAGGCCGACGGCGGTGCCCGGGGAACACTGCGGCTGCTCATCCCCTGCCTCCTTTTCAGCCGCGACCTCTGTGGGAGACCGTGCGCGCACCACCCGCTCTCCAAAAGGCAGCTCTATCCCCTGCACCTGCCTCCGCGGGCAATCTCTCAAAAACCCGGGGGCACTCATGGAACCCGCGCCCGGGATCGTGCAGCGCCAGCCGCTCAGCAGCAAACGCTGGCAATCAATTCCTCGTTAGTTCCGTAGGCCACCCAGGCCGGCGTCCCGGGCCCCGCTCCGCGAGGTCACGCAGGTCGCTGCCCCGACCTGAGGACTCCCCTCCCGCCCACCTCAGCCTGGCGCTGATTTTCTGAAAGCTGGAACGGCGACCAAGCAAGGAAACAACTGAGTTAGGTCCTGCTCTCTCGTCTCAGCCCCGGCTCCCATCTCCCCTGGACCCTGGGGACCACTCAGTGTAGACCTTCGCCCCTTAGCCGCTTCGCCTGCCTGCTCCCGGTCGGGGTTAAGTCGTTCCTTTGGCGCCCTGAGCTCGCTGGTGCTACGACTTCCTGAGTTTCCCAGCGGTCCTTGCTGCCCTCTCAGACCCAGGCAACGGAACAGAACCGGGGCACCACGCGCATGCCACCGCTCAGTCGCTGCCCTGAAGAGAGGCACTACCGAGGTCAACTGTTTATCCATATTCTCTTCTGGAAGGTGCGCAGCTCTGGCCCCAGGTTCAGCAGGGATCTTGTGTTTAGGAAGTTCAAATTCCCAAGCGTTGGGATCCCATTCTACTGTCTGGGACTTTAAAAGTTGGTTGGAAACTGAAAATATTTTGTGACTTGGGAAGATTTGCAGTGCCAGGATTGCTATGAGAATACAATATAACCCCCCCCCCCCGCCGCCGGAAATAAAAAAGAAAAAAGAATTTTTCCCCACTTAACCAGAAAAGGCAAGAACTTAACCAGAAAAGGCAGGAATGGAAAAAAGAGCAAAATGCAGGCCAGAGTTTGAGAGAACTCCAGTCACCTCTGAAAATTAATCTATTCCACCTGCTAACAAATAGCTTGCAAGAAAGACAATAATGTCAGGGGGGAATTCTGGACGAATTTGGTGCTGGGAAGAAGTCCTTCATTCAGATCCGACCAAATACGAGATTAAATAGAGACAATAATTTAGGAGGCAGAGAAGAGACCTGAGACATCCCAGGTTACTCCCCCATTCCTCCCACCTGGGTTGACTGGCTCTCCAGCCAGCATTTTCAGGGGACCTGAGGTCTTTGTCCTTTCCCTGCATTCCCAGGGAGACTCCATGGGCAGTGAGAGCAAAGCATGCAAAGTCATGCTTTTATGTCCTTCCCAAAAGTCCTCAACTTTTCTGAATGATCTTGGCCGATATGAGGGGCTAGCAGTATCCAGATGTGTGAGGGGCTCCTGAATTCCAGAAGGAGAGAGACTTGGGAACACTGTTCATGCCAAAGGTGGTGCCTGAGAGGATCTGAGTGTTCCTATAGTCCCAAGGGAGCAGAGGGCATGACCCAGACTCAGGCAGGTTATGCCCAAAACAATAGAGAAAGAGGCCGAGTCCCTAAATTATGGGCTATTAGCCTGGTGCCTCTAATTTAGGATGATGTCCCTTTCTAATTCTATACAAGCCAGAAAGCCACTTACATCTTTAACGGGGTACTTGGGCCATGGGGGGCATGACCTAAGTAGCCTCCTGCAAACAGAGCACCCCCACTACCCAGAGCCAAAAGCTCTGTAACCAATGACTAGAGAGGCAGGATGGGGTGCTGCCAGGCCAACACTTGAGATAGCTCCCAGTTTCCTTCCACCAGATGTTCCCTAATCTGCTGCCACAGCTTGTCCTGAGAAGTCTGAGATGGGCTTGGGGCAGGTCTGGTTGCCCAGAGGCTATCGGAGCATGAAGGCGGTACAAGTCCCACAAACTGTTTTTTTCACTGTGCTGCAGGAGAAGGGCAGGCAGCCACATTAAGGAATTGCCTGCCCAGGAGTGAGCAGTGGCAGGAGGAAGGGGGTATAGTGTAAGGAAGAGGACAGCAAAGAGAAAGAAATGATTACATCATTTGGTAAGTTTTCCCTGAAGGGAATGCCCCTCACCCACTCCGGAATAAAAGAATATTCTGACCACCACTGGAAGCAAACTGGATTAAAACTGTCTAGAATGCCCTTCTAGAAGGCAAGGCATCAGAGGCACTGAAGGTGGGGGAGCCCTAGACCTGTGCCTACAAGAGATTGAGTTGTGGTGTCTTGGGGTGAAGATATAGAACTTGCTTGTGTTTTGGGGGTGAGAGGAGAAAAGCAAACAAATCTTCCACTTGGCAGGTTGGAAGGACCCCTGTGGGACAGCTTTGCTATTGTCTTCTGGGGTACCCCTCCTTCCTCCCTGAGACACAAAGTATGTTTCCCACCCCCATCCTGACTTTTTAGTTCCATGACCACAAAAGAGCAGCTTGTAGCTCAGTGCCCAGTACCAGCAACTGAATGCCAGATGTGCCGGAGGGGGGTCAGGTACAATCCACATGCTCTTAAAGGTTAGAAAAAAAAAAAAAAAAAAGCAATATTCCAAAGTCTTCAGGGTAGGGTCCTTCAGTTTTGACCAGTTCCTCGCTTCAACCAATGCCACAGAACAGGTCAAGACAAAAGGAAAGTCTTGCCTTGCTGGGCCTCCTTGGAATGAGAGTTCTTTTTCTACCTCATTAATTTTTCTACAGTTAGAACCCAGACTCAGCCCTGGCTGACTATAAACAGGCTTTTAGGAAATGGAGTTTCTGATGATGAAATCAAAATTGTCTCTAGTAAGAGCAACAAAAAGTAAGTCAATTTGACAGTGTGTTGGGCATCCCCAGAAAAACTGTCAGAATAGAGCCCACTTGCTGCTGTCCGTGTTTCCAGGCCACCTTCTGACCACAGCTGTTAAAGCACAGACATGCTGGGCAACAGGAACGATAGTCACACATGCAGCAGGGTCACTCACAAAACTAGATCAGCTGAAGGACTTGGGGGTACTGTGCCAGGGCTTGTGTTTCTGTTCCTACAGGGGCGGAGAACCCACTCTCTTGCTACCTATGGGGGGACAGCGACAGTAAGGTGGGGCAGTGAACCCTCAACACCTTTTGCAGACACAAATAGTTGGCAATAAACTCTCCAAGGTCTGGCACAGACGTGGAACTGTTTGTCAACACTTGACAGAAAGAAACACAAAGGATAACTGTAGGTTATAGTCAAGGAACAACCTAAATAGCTTGGGATGGGGGGGGGGGTCTGCCTTCTCAGAAACTCTGAGGGAAGCTTGGGATACGGGCTCACCAACCTGCCTTGAGGTGTAGCTGGGGCAGAAATCTTGCCAGGAAGAACCCGGGCGCAGGAGGGCGCTCGTGCTCCCGAGTAGTAGGTAGGAGCCATCAGTGGGTGATCCTTAAAATAAATATAAAGGCTAAAACTACCTCTAGACTAAAAAGGCGCGAGCAGAAACACAGCCCTTGGCAAGCGAAATGAGGGATTCCTCCTGGATGACAGAGGCATTCCGCGCAGCGCGCGAACCTGCAAGCCTGCAAGCAGACTTCCACAGCGGCCGCCCCCTCGGCGACGTCGGGTACCTAATCCTCCTCCGCACAGATCCTGCCTCTCAGATTGTCGGCTACGGAATGAAAAAACGGAGACAGAGTCCCTCTGGGAAAATCCCTGCGCACGCACACTCATGCATACACACACGCACACACACACAGACTTGGGGATAAACAGTGAGCTCCTGCCACCTTATTAATTTTGGGCTCGGGAAGAAAGCCCGTGGGCGAGCAACCCACCAGTCACTCCCCTTCCGAGTCCGACCCATTCTGAGAGCCTGTCTCTGCGTGCGCAAAAGCTGTACCGGAGTTTACAACTTCGGCGCGCTGTTTCTCCCTCCCCTGCATTCCTCGGCTGGCTGGAATATGGCGAGTGGACTCTCACTCGGAGCAGGCAGTCCCCGGCAGCTCAAGCGGCGGGCGCCGTGGGCAGCTTCCACTGCGGACGCACCAGGCGCGCACGCACGGCGCTGGGATCCAGCGGTGGCCTGGGCTTCCCCGCCGCCAACCCCGGAGGCGGGGGACGCGCTCTCCAACTTCCCGCCAGCTGGGGTGAAGTTGCACTAGCGGTACTAGGAGCTTTGACCGCGGCGCAAGGTGATTTGAGGGGAGACCACCCCGCCGACAGGCCTGGCCTTCAGCTCGTTCTCCAAGTGCCCCCAAATAACACTCTCTCCAATGCTCCTAGAAAATCCATGGGCAGGGGATGCGGAGTTTGGTACCCCAGGTTCGCCACGAACATGATCGGGGGGGCTTTCACTTTTGGCTCCAAAAGCCAAGATCCAGGCCCTTTAACGCACTCTTGCGGGTGCCCCTGCCCTGTGATCGCCTCTGCTCCCGGGCAGTCGGTCCCTCGCTCCGCCCGCCCCTCCAGTCCAGGCTGCGCGCAGCGTCCGGCCCGCCCGCACCGGCCAAGGCTGCTAGCCGTCTTGTTATCAAATTAAATCAGAGAGAAAGGGGGATGTCTTACGTTGCATCGGAACACCAAGCATCTCCGGGAGCCCCTTGACAGCCCCCTCCGCGGGGACAGCTGCGCTCTGCATCATCTCCGAGCGAGAGCCAGCGAGTCGCAGTGTACGGCGGTCTCTCGCTCACTCGCTCAAGCTGGATTCAGAAATTTGAAAATAATAATGAAAACCCAACCAGGCCGCCAGAGTCACGGTGGCCACTGGAGTCTCGGTAGCAGCCGGACCCTCCGCTTCTCCTGGAGGATTCCACAGGCTGGTTGTCCCCCTCCCCCCGCCAGTCCTCAGTCTGTTTCAAATCCCTTTGATCTCGCTCTCCGGGGTTGGTGCACATCCCGGGTTGAGGAGACGCTGTTGCTGCAGCTCTGGCTTTTTTCCCCTCCTCCTTCCCCCGCCCGCTTCTCTCTCCCTCCCCCTCCACCCTTCGCGTGCCGGCCGCCCGGGAGGCCGCGGTCACCCAGGCATTTTGATTCATTCACACTGCAGGAGCGGCCGTGACGTCGCTTTCCGCAGGGAGGCCCGCCCTTCAGCCAATCTCCCCTCCACCCGGCAACGGACGGACGACCCCGGCCGGAGTAGGGGTCCCCGCACCCCAAGTGAGGCCGCTGGGGCAGGAGGGCGGGGCCGCAGAGAGTGGGGCGTGGCCTCGGGCTGCACAGCCCCCTCTCCCCAGCCCCCAAGCCCTGGGCGCTGGCAGGCGTCCTGGGTATAAATACTGCGGCTGACTCGGCCGCGGCAGCAGGTGGTCTGGGACGGCGGCGCTTGGGTCTCTCGGGCTGCTGTGGGTGTCTAGGGGGCTCAAGCCAGGGCTGACGGCTCGTGTTTCCCCCTCCCCTCCCTTCTGTCCAAGGAAGGGGGCAGGGTGAGCCGGACCCCGCGAAGGCCCGGGCCTCGCGGCGGAGTCTCCCCGCGCGCTCCCGGTCCCGGGCTTCTCTTCGCCGGACAGAGTGCGCTCCGTAACCAAATGACTCCATCCTTCTCGTCGTCCTCCTCCACCTCCGCCTTTTTTCTAGCCAATTCCTTTCCCGCCGGCGCTTCCCAGCCCTTACTCTCTCTCCCCCGCGTCTGGCTGAGGCTGGGCCAGGGACAGCCCGTACTCGGCCCGGAACACGCGAGTCACGCAGCGGGCGGCTGCAGGCTGTTTGAGGCGGCCGGGGGCTGTGAGCAGAGGTAGCGGGGCTCGGGACCCCAGCGCGCGCCCCCGCACGACGCGGCCTGCCGCCCTGAGTCTCTGCTTCTCGGCCTCGTCGGGGCTCAGCGCCTCTGGGCGGGCGCCCAGCTGGAGCGTGCCCGGAGTCCCCAGAGACCGCTCCGCCCGGCCCGCTGCTGCCGCGGGCGCTTTGAATAATTCCCGACCTTGTGCGCGCTGGACTGCGGCGCGCACGCGGAACCCCCTGGACTCAGAGACCCGCCTGTGCTGCTTCTTGGTATTTAACGCACACACGCACGCACACACTTAAATTCTCAGTGCAAATTCCTGGAGGAAATCAAAAGGTAGACCGAACGCAGGAACGAGGTCTCGGCGGAGGCTCTCTAGCACTCCATTAGATACCTCCATTGGCACCGCCCGACTGCAGGCGCGGGGTCCCCCATTCCCTCTGCCACCGTACCCCTCGCGGCTGTCGGGTCCCTACCTCGCAACTCCCCCATCCTGAATTTCGCTCCAGAGCTGTAAACAGATAGGAACTTCCAGTCTCGAGCGGTCGGGCTCCGTTGGGAAGGGGGACTGGGTGCCCTCTGCAGCTTTCTAGAGTCCCCGTTCTTTCTCCTGGCGTTATTCCCAAACTGGGGACACCAAGCTTGGTGAGGGAGAGTGTGTTTGGGGAGAAGGGGAGAATAATGTGGCCGTCCACACTTAGAATTTGTCTTCAATGAGAACACAATTCCTTGTAAGTGGTCTGGCACTAGGTTGGCATCTTCTCTTCTCATCTGTTTGCCTGCGAGGTGACTCCAGTGCGCAAAAAAAGCAAAGAACTCGGGGACATCGTCAGTGTTTACCAAGTGTTTTTCCCAGAAATATAACTAGTGAACAAACACAAGGAAATGCCAGCCTTAATAACAATAAAAGTCATGCAAAACAGCATGGTACATACCTTACTTTTTGCTCTATCTCTCTCTCTCTGGTTTTTTTTTTTGGTCTGTTAAATGACCATGGGTTGGGGTGGGGGGTGGGGGGTGTAGAATTCATCTTCTGATGGAGATGCTTTGAAACTGGTACTTTCACAGACATTGCTGGTTTGTGTATAAACTCTTAAATCCGTTTGGAAAGCAAGTTGGCAATATGTATCAAACCCATACATTTTCATGCCCTTTAACTCACGTGACTCCACTTTTCTCTTCCACGGAAACCATCTAAAATTCAAAAACAAGTTTCATACATGAAGACGCTTATATTTTGAAGGGGAAATAAGCTAAATATCCAACAAAGGTACAGTGGTTTAGTGAAGCATATTAAATTTGCTTGATCATATGTTAAACAATTACTGAAACTAATTATGAAGCCAGGCAATACAGGAGTGCTTGTGAAATGCTATTTTTTTTCCAAAAAAGGATGCAACCTTATATGATTATAAATATGTGAAAATGTTATTCAAAGATAAAAGTGGTGATAATACCCACTGTGACTAGGGCATAGGGGAATTAGGAAACAATTTCCTGTAGGGATATAATAAGGGATAATGTCTTCTGAGAGCATTTTGGCAATGTTTTGTAGCCTTAAGTGTGATGGATTTGACCCAATTCATAAAGTAATTTATCCACAGAAAACAATCAACAGTATTTATATAGATGCAGCTGCAAGGATGTGTACAGTATTTTTAAAAGAATAACCTACATATCCAACAATAGGGATTATTAAATAAATTAGAATACGTAGAATTAATTTTATGTAAACATTAGAAAATACAGCAGAAGGACATTTAATACAGAAAAGTGAGATTCATTAGGAAGGCACATGAGGGAGTAGGACCTGATTTTTTTAAAGCATTTTCTTTTTTAAAAGATGTTAAAGTATCAAAGTACTTTATAGTGAATGTTTTGTTTTCTTCTTTTAGCCTTGTTTCACTTTCTTCAATGAGCATATTTTTAGAATGCAGAAAAATAATGACAATTACAATGCTTTCCAAAACACTGGAAAAAAACTGGAAGGAATTCTATCAAAATGCTCTTCAAACATATACTGGGGGAGAAGACTATAAGGGAGATAGCATATGAATTTGTTTCTATAACACATTTATTTTCCACAAATGTGTTATACTTTTCAATAATATTCACAAAAAATAAAATAGTTTTATGCAGCAAGTGTGGAACATGTGGTTGTTACTTTTATAATTTAAAATTATACTTGAACATGACTGCTACAGCTTCTGCTCCCCTGCTCCGACCCTGCCTGGGACTTGTCTGCTTCCCTTTCATGCCACCAGCATGTCACTGGGTGAGAAGCAGTTTTACTATGAGAGGGACGCTCTGCTGGGGGGTGGGGAGGGGCTGATTCAGGAGATGCCACTTCTATCTCTATCTGCTGGCTGGAGAACCTGGGAGGCCAACATGACCTTCAGTCCTTGAACTTTGGGCAGCATCTCCCCAGCACCCCTAAGCACTCTGCACATGCCCACAATGCAATTCAGCCAATAAATGTCCTTTCCAGAACCCAGGACTTTCCTAGTGTCCTGGAGTGAAGTGTCAGAGTCTCAAGTCCTTCCACTGTCATCTACATCTGCCAAGGCATTTACTTCACTTCCCTCCTGGGGCCTCAGCTTTCCCATCAGTAAATGATAAAGCCCTAACAAAAAGCTTTCCTTAACCAGACATTTCAGAGCCTCCTGTTGCTGATGGTAAAAATAATAATGATGATGATAATATTATGGAATCCAATGGTAATAAAAACAACCAGCATTTATGGAGGGCCCAAGTGCTTCCCTGAATTATTCCATCTATTCCTCATAATCATTCAATACTGGCATTATTAAACCTACCTGGTAGATGAAAAAAATTGAGGCTAACATGTGCTAAGTTAGCCTCTACCCCCAGAGAATGTGATGATGGCTGAATTTGACAGAAAGATCCTCAGATGGATCTGTTTGGACTTAAAATTCTGAGCTGATGGGGCCTTCCTGGTAGTGCAAGCGGTTAAAGTGCAGCGCTATGAAGCTATCCGCAGCCACTGCAGCATGAATTCCATCCCTGGTCAGGGAGCTGACCCACATGGCTCCTGTCTTGCCTGCTGTTCCCCTCAGCAGTGTATTTCAGTAAATCCTCTTGTTTGCTCCCCACTCTGTCTCTGGTGAACCCTCTCACCGCTCCCTTCTGGCTTATACCTCAATTCTTGTGTGCATAAACAAATAAATCTTTAAAAAACAAAATAAGAAAACTCTTAGCTGACCCAGGAGGACTTCTCTCACTGAAGGTTACCCAGGGCTGGCAGGTGACCTCCCGGGAGCACTGGTCCTCAGAGACCCCACAGACCTGTGCCACTCAGTCACAACTCGGTGGGCACCAGAGGATGGGCCAGTAGTGGTGTGATGTTCCCCAGTTCTTTGTTCTGCCCAGGCATTTGCTGGACAAACAGTAAGACAGCCCAGTACTTTCCGAACATTTGCACTTTGCATTTCCAGGAACCAAACCCAACCTGTCTGTAGATCAGATTCTGAGGGAAGTTTCTCCGGAAACCCAATTTAGGAAAATGCTTCTCACTTGCTTGCATTTGTCTACCACTTTGCATTTTACAAATTCCTCCACATATTTTATTTCATTTGATCTTCATAATCATGCGTGGGCTTGGGTCTGATAATCAGGACTCAGAGAGGTTAACTGGTTTGCTTAGAGTCAGATTGCTAGTAAGTTGCAGAGCCAAATGGAAATTCAACCCAGCCTGTGACTCCCAATCTGGTGCTCTTTCCACTCCACACAACAAGCGTGTGTGTCTTCTAACCCTTCCATTTTAGTAGCTTCCCAGAGTGGGCAAGTTCAACCTCAGACGCCAGGAATCCTGAACTGCAGTCTCTTCCTCCATGGCGGAACAAACTCCTGGCCCCTTCTCCCTGTCACCCGGCTCCAATAATCTCCTCCTTGTCTTTATTCCTCTCAAACCCGCTTTCATCATTTGCATTTTGAAACTGTTTCCTTAATTATTCTCCTGCTAGTGGAAACCTGCTCCTCCCGTCTCTGTGGCATCCTTTGATTTATCTCTGTCTAGATAACAGCTCCGAGATTCTCCTTGGGGAATTCAATTTTCATTCATTTTTCTGCTGGGCTAGATTGATATAGACCCTCTGCCCCGGTCCATATTACTCATCCCAGCAGAGAGAACTGGGGAGACCAACCCTTAGCCT